CTTGAAAAGTTTTTATAGCTCATTTCTGGTGAGCTCCACATCCCCTGGTAGGTGGTAATTAAGAGCCCCAGCCTCACACTCCATAGAATCCGAGCTCTGCCATTTCCTGTCTGTGATTTCTCTGGGCCTCTCTTTCCTCATCTGTAAAATGGGGATAACACTTACCCAGAGGAGTTGTTTTGAAGATTTAGTAGAGTGTAAAGCTCTTGGGGCAAAGCCCACAGTTAGTGGCCCAGAGCACCACCCCTATCCCCACCAGCTACCCAGAAGCTGGGGGAAGGTGGGTGCTGGAACCTTAAATGCTCACCCAGGCACCCTCAACCTCAGCTCCTTCCTGTCTTCTCTCACCATCAGCGGTTTCCTCGAGTGCCTCCTCTGCAGACCCCGGGCATTCAGGGTTCCAGCAAAGACCTGCCTCCAGGCCTTGCCTGGAAAGACCTGCCTCCAGGCCCTGCCCAGTGGCATCTTCCAGCCGGTGAGCCAGAGGTTGGGCAGGGGCCTGAGGCCTGTGCTTCCCTGTGGGACTGTCGCCCCCTACTGGCCATATCCGGTACAGCCTCAGAGCAGGCAGAACTGGGTCTGCCTCCTCAGCTGGGCTCTATCTCTGTCCCTTCTCCGGGTCCCCACCACCCCAGAGACTCTCCTCCCCACCAGACCGAAAGGTGGGCAAGAGCAGACTTGGCACCCATTCCTGGTCAGGAACATCTGTGATGCGTTTGTGGCCAGCAGCCACCTCCACCTCTGGTGCCATCACCCCAAAAGTCCACAGGTCATGTGGGACGGGGAGTGGGGGGCCTGGGCATTGCTTGGAGCTGTGTCCATCCACTTTGAAGCCTCAGAGAAAACAAAGGGTGTGGAAGAACCCAAGTTCCCACTGCTGCTGCTGCAAGAGGAGCCCCTCCTGAGAGGAGGAGGATGAAATTCCTTTCCTCTGTGCAAACCACACAAGCCCAGCCAGGCTGTCGGAGCCCTGGAGGGGCTCAGCCCAACCTTGGGAATCAGGAGCTTTGTTCTCAAAGTTAAATCCATGAGTTTCTTATTCCTTCACAGGGAGGGATTCGCTTCATTAGCACAGCCAGAACTGGCCCGTGGCTCTTGGCATCATCAGTAGGCAGAGGCCAAGAGCTCAAGATTTGGACTCAGTGTTATAATAGCAAGGTCAAGGTCAAGGATTCAGATCCCCACAGGGGCCAGCCGCCAAAAAAAAAAAAAAGATTTGGATCCAGAGTTCTGGGG